TTTATTATTTTTATGAATAATTTATCTACTGTGACCCGTAGTTCCGGAGGCAGGTTACCCGTGTGTTGTGTGCGCACATAAAAATGCACACCCCTAGAAAAGTTAAGTTAAAAAAAAAAAGGTTAGTAGTTCTAAACACAACCTGCAACCCAATACAAAATAATGAGTTTGAGTTTAGTTTAAAGAAGTTTATGGGAGTAAATACGAAGACCAGTTAAATTCTTTAACTAATTAAATCAAAGCAAACTTGATAAAAATATGACATAAAATTAGTAATGATGGATTTTATCCGATGCCAAATTGGCTATATACCATTATAAATGTATTAATAGTGATTGAATGAATTTTTCAAAGAACAATATTATTGAGATTTAATTTATAGATACCCATAAACTTAAACATGATACAATTTATCCACAACGGTACGTTGAATTAAAATTTGAGAAATGTTACATTGATTTAAGACGTGGATTTGATTAATAAAACATTAAATGTTATATTTGATTAATAAAACTTAGTTTGACATCTGTTGGGGCTATGGACTCAGTAACTCCTTGGTAAGGCAGGTAAGTGTACATCGCAAAAAGCTCGGAATCGACAACTACCCCGAAAGCTTGAAGCGCCTCATCCCAACCTTGCTTAAAGGACTTCCTTTTTCTATCATCAAAGGTTGGGATGAATTGCTTCTCACACTATTTGTACATGTCCATGTAGGCCGCGTTAAAACTCCCAGCGTCCCCGGCCTTTTCTTCCTCCAATGCCTCCACTTTTGAAGTCAGGGCCGCGCAGTGATCCTCGACTTTTAGCAACTTGGACTTTGTAGTAAAAACCTTCAGCTCGGCCTCGTCCATTCTCCTTGCTGTGTCAGCCTCAGCCTGCTTGCCCTTGTCCAACTCGGAGGTTAGGGCCTTGATTTTTTGGATCAGGTCGGCTATACTTCTGGACTGATCAACGATCATCCTCTCCACTTAGCCGATGTGGAGGTCCTTCATTGCAAGCTCGACTTGAGCCTTGTCAGCTCTACTCATATAATCCCAAAAACGATCAATGATGACCCCCATTTGTTGACAAACATGGAAAAGGAAAGAGTGAGCATGAAGACATGGTCACCGTAGAAAAACGTCAAAGGCAAAGAAAGGGTTTGGATTGCTTACCACCAAATTGTGATGGACCACTCCCTAGAGGAGCCGATTTTCTCTATAATCATCCAAGATCACTATGTCGGCGTCGAAGTGCAGGGTCCCACTGACAGCTAGGGCCATGTTGAGAAAGTGAATGATTGAGTCAAACTCCAGTACGGGCTGCCTTTTCTTGTGACTACTTGGGGGGGCCCATTCGACAAAACCAGGGACGTCGGGACGTTGTGGCATTATTTGACTTGGGGCTCAACGATTGAGTTGTCCTCCCGACCACAACACTACCTTTGCTAATTGTCACTTTGTTCCGAGGGCTTATCTTGGTGCCTTTGACGTTAATGTTGAACCCTCGGGGGGGATGTCCTACTGTTATTGTTGCTATTATTGTCGTGGCTCCTATTGATACAAATGGGGAGTAGGTAGAGGGACGTTGATCGGCGCAGTGATAGGGGGAATGCAAAACATTTCAATGGGAGAGTTGTGTGTTGAGGGGGTGACTTCAGAATCATGGTCGGGGTCCTTTTCAAGGTCAGCTTCCTCTTTCTCTTTCGAAAAACGGTCCACCCAGATGCAAGGATCGAAGGTGGAGGGATTTGAGAGAATCGGGTGTAGCCGGGACGATATTCAAGGAGCACGTGCGCTGCCTAAGCAAAAAGGTTACTAGGGTTATGAGACCAAACCATCAGAAGATCTTCAAAGGCAACATAAGCTTTCAGGGGTTGAGCAACGTCCTTCTTGTATCCTCTGCAAAGAAAAACACAAGGTTAGAAGTGAGAATAACGGCCAAGTAGGGCTGATTTCAATAGAATACGCACTTGGCACCCTCGGTACTTTAGGGCAATAGAGGCCATCATACTCAAATCCTTCACTCGTCTCCCATTTACCTTCAAGCATCATGAGATCCCGTGTGTACCCTTTGTTCGAATCTGGCATGTGCGTCACCAAGCACTTGGAGGGGTCCCGTGCCTTTAACTAGTACTTGTCACCACTAACCAACTTCAAGTTATAGCAAAATAGTATTTCATCCACCCTGAGATTCACTCCTAGTTGGGCATTCAGGGCAACCACGCCAATAACTATCCTAAATAGACTAATACAACCCTGGAGAGAGGAAGAGTCTCAGGTGCATGAGAACTCTTAGTTGAAGGGGAGGAAGAAAAAACCTAACCCCCTTCCATGATGGCTTTAGTGGGGGAAGGGCATTAGTTCCACATTGCCCACATCAGCTCTATGAAACTTGGGGTCAAAGACAATAGTGAAGACGTGCTCGGGAATGTTGTAGGTGGCTCTAAAAGCCTCTATATTGGTATTAGTTACTTGGGTTCTCCTTAACCTTCCCATATCACTAGGCCTGACCGACTCCCTTGGGACCCTAGTTCTTTGTATGTTGGCCATTGAGGATTTTTATGAAGATGAATAAGAGAATGGAGGAAAGGAGGAAGAAAGTATAGGTAAAGGAGTACTTATATTTCAATGGCTTCGAACGATCTGCTTGGGAGAAAAATGAATAATTACTTGGGAGATATCACAATTGGAGAGGTTAAAGGTCCAAGAAGTCTCGAATGAGCCACAAACTCCCCCATTTATATTGGCTTCTATGTGGGTGGGAATCGAGGAGGCAAGCTATCGATTAGGAATTTGAAAATTTGGTACTAGACATGTGGGTAACCATCCCTAAAATCTAGGCGTGCTGAGGAAGCCTCCACTCTCCTTGCTCCACCTGTCCCATGACAACAGGAAAATGGAGACTGAGGAGCAGTTGACGGGACTTTAGACGGCTTGACAGAAATAAATAGACGCATGGGTAGTTACAACCGTTAAAGAATGCAAGGGGTCACGCGAACGCAGGCCCCCACTGTCACAAATTATGACGTAGGTTCCACCACTTGGGTGGACCTTAAGTGGGCGCCTCTCCTAAGTGTTATGAAGGTTGCCAACCTAGGCCATGGGCTTTTTTGATCACCCGTTGACCTCGTCCAGGTAAGTATTACCCAGGGCTGAGCATTAAAAAGGATCTAACAGCTCATTAATGGCTCTTGAGTGCCTATAGTAGGGCCATTAATGAGTGTCCAGATCCTCGAAGAATGTGAATACAGTCATCACTACAAGGTATTAATTGTCATTACACCATTTGAAGTCCTCAATAAACCCCGAGGGTGCTTATTCCCGAGTAGTAAACACTCAGGCATAGGTGTAAAGCACCGGGAAAGGGTATTTAATGACCAGAGAATGGGCCATGAATGCTCAGCAATTCTCGAACAAAGGTTCACATGCCCGAAGAGACTAGTCATTAGATGATTTGATGGGATGTCACTCATGATGTTAGGATATGAGTGTAGAGTTTTAAATTCTGAGATGTGACTCATGGGTACTGTCATCATTGCAAACCCTTGTATAAATATCCCTCAAGAAGTTGGACGAAGGTACGCAATTCGAATATAGAAAATACATTGTGATCTTAACTTCAATGCTAACTGACTTGGACTTCGGAGGGGATTAGCTGAGTACACACTCAATCCCTTTTTCCTAATCCTTTGTTTCAGGTTCAACGTCATTTAGAATCGTTCTGTGTATCGCTATCTCAACTTATTACAAGAAATCACCTGTGCAACACACTACCCGTTAAAGACAGCACATAAATAACACCCACACAATAGAGCACAAATGCACTAACCTTTGTTGATTCAACATTTCTTGTCGAAAAAAATGAATTATCGGAAAAAATAGTTGGTAGAAATGAAGAGATGTAATAAGCAAATGAAAGAGAAAGGAGAGAGAATAGTTTGAAAAGTACCAAAAAAATTATGATAAATCTCAAATTGTATCTCGAAATATCGTTCAAATTTTAATTTACACTCTCAAAGATAAAAAATCTCAATTTGTACCTTCAAAAATAAAAATTTATATCAATGCACACCTGAAACTAACAACCGTCAGTTTGCAGTATAAAACTGAATAGATAAATTATAACTAGATCCCCGCATACTTGTTACTTAATCATTTAGACCCCTTCACATTTAGAATATTATTTCGACACCTCTTGATGTTTGTACACGTGTAATACATAACCCCTTATCGCTGATATCTATTAATATTATCATTAAAAAATATAATTTTATCCTAATAAAAAATTATAATTTTATATTATTTTTTATTTTGTAGGTTTGTTATACTCTAAAATTCAAAATCAAGCTTATCATTTTATTGGTCAATATAGTGTAGAAATTTATAATATTTTTTATATTCAATATAATATATCAATTAAACATAATTATTTGAATACCCAATTGGGGGAATATTTTTAGTCATGTTTAAATTCTCAAGAGATATAGGTGTAATATTTTAAATATAAAGGGTTTAGGTGATAAATGGACAAATATGATGGAGTTTAAATATAATATATTCATTTGTGTTTTAAATGACAAATTGACGATGATTAACTTGAGATATGTATTGATATTAATTTCTATATTTTTAAGTATAAATTCAAATTCAAACACTCTTTTGTAGCGTAATTTGACATTAACCCAAAAAACTAAGTGGGTGGCCAACTGAAGACAACAATGAAGTGGGTGGCCAACTGAAATGATTGGGGGTACAGTAGAGACAGAAAACAGACACGTTGTTTTCGTCAACACAGTCAATTCTTTGACTGACATGGCAACCATCTCAGACGATCTGACATTTTATTGAAGTGGCTGCTCCTCGTCAATAAACAATCTTGTATTTACATCTATGGCAAAGGAAATTAACTGACATGGATTCTTTTCTTCTCATGGAAACCGTAATTGATAGCTACATCACACGTACTCGCACAGTCGTTGTACCTGTGTGCTATTAATATCTCAACAACTTAACCATTTTTCACAGCTTGTTCAGGTGCAGGCCGTAGGGCACACGGTTGGGCAACCTCACGGCGGCAACAATTTCAAAATCCGGCGACTTGGCGGCCATGACCAAGAACTTAGACTCTCCTGTGTTCTCATCATGCGCGTAAGTTAATACGTACCCGTCGTCCTCATCGGCCTGTGGATTCGCCGGCGACTTTGCCACGAAGAAGGGCTGGCCGCCGTAGCAGCCGGGTCCGAACATCCGGCTAGCCACTATGCAGTCACGACGATCATCTTCTGATACTGATACATCGAGCTTCACCATCCCTGATACCTTCGCTACTATTGAAACCCCCACCGCTGCGTACGCATACCTGAATAGAGGACAGACAAAGATGAAAATTTTGTTTGAAACAAAAGATAAGTTGATTCAGTATCAACGACAAAAACACTTATGCTAACATAAATGATGGATACTAAGCATTATGTGCATCGATTTGTGCAGTCCAATAAACACTGTTATTTGGAAACAGTTTATAGGATCCCAAGAATGAAATATTAATTGATCGGGCCACTATAAGCAATAGATCATGTGATGTAATTCGATGAAAAGTAGAAAAAAGACTCTGGATTCAAAACTTTGGTGAAGCTAAAACAAGAAAATATTTTTGGAATTATTATTCAAAACTTTGGTGAGGCAAAAACAAGAAAATATTTTTAAAATTATTTCAAAATATTTTGAAAATAAAATAGGTCGACGCTTAACATATTGAGCAAAACATTTCAAATCATGAGACTAGACTGATTCATTTTAATATATCCTTTTTTTTGTCATTTTATCGTCTATTGAAATCATAAAACATTCGATCATTTTTCAATGAAAACCGGACCAAAAATCTCGTCTTTCACCCTAACAAATTTCAGATTTTATGACTCAAAACTCATAGGGATATATATGATGATAATAGTTAATGAGCGGATTTTGATCATAGTTGTTAAATCGTATATCGAAAGGTGTATTATTTTTTAAAAATAATGTATTGTATCATATCGTGTATTTTAAGATATGCGTAATTTTAATTTTTAAATAATTATTAATAAAATATATGTATATACCTTTATAAAAAAATCATAAACTCATAATAGCATAATATTTCATTACTATTCTATCAACTATTCAAGTTTCAAACATAGTTCAGTAATATCAAAATATAAAAACCTCTAATTAAAATTTATAACATCAACTGCTTGAACAATTTTAATATTAATCAAGAATTTTGAATTCAATTGAACAATATTAATATTAGACTTATATTTATTTTTTTTAAACTATAACTACTGAAACGACGTTATTTCACTAATTAGTGATTTAAAAATAAGTTATAGGATAAAACGGTGTTATTTTAACCCCAAAAAAAAAAAAAAAAAAAAAAACATAATCGTCACGTAATAAGTATCGAACATATCGTATCATGTATTATACGATACGATATAAAAATAATATAAAAACACAATACATATTATTTTTTAGATATATTGTAACGTATCGTACAATACTAATATCAATCATGGTAATTACTAAAAAAATTTCAGTGAATTTGCAATTTGTAGCCGGGTGTACCTGTTCTTCTCCACCCTCATGCCACATAAGCCGGATTGATCACTGCAAAGTCTAGATTCCTAGCGGACAATGGGTGTCACGTCACAATCCCAGTCTTGAGATCAATCTTCACTTTCTCCACCGATTCATGGATCAAATTCATCCCTCTCCGACAAGTGTTCCACCGATAATATGTTTGGAGCCACCATCACCACTGTATTGCCGCCGTCCTCGTCCTAAGCGTTAATGGCGTGTATTATATTGAACCCGGCACATCAAACCACCTCATCTCTGATTCATCCTTAGCATATCTTGGGATTACTCCGAGTCTAGTCAGTTTTTCTGGGTCTGAACGCATCGGAATTCCACCTTCGACGATCATGTCAACTGGGTTCACCCCTATTTGTGTGTCGGAAAATATGGCGTACTTTTTTGAAATGGCGAAGTCGTGAAGGAACGAAGGACGTGCCATGGAGAAGATTGGGACGTCAGCTTGTTTTGTCCCGTCGGAATTGAATCGGAAAAAGGTTAAGAACGGTGGCATAGCATTGTACCTGAAAGCGAAGGCTTCGCCGGTGTCAGAATCGATCTTAGGGTGTGCTGTCATGCTCATGAAAATCTTGCCGTCGAAATCATGGCGACCTAAGGTTACGACAATGCCGTCTCCGGCCACTTTTACGGAGTAAGGGAGGTTGTATTCGCAGAGAGCGTAGAGCCTACCACCGAAGAGAGCCAAGCTGGTGTTTGCAACGCCAATGCCGTTGACGAAGTTGAATTTTCCGGCAAATACTCTGGCGGCGGTTACTGCTACACGCGCCGCAGAGGCGGTGAGGCCAATGAAGACGGAAAAGAGGCTTGGGATCACCGGAGAGCCGGTGTCTCTCTCCACTACGTACTTGTAGGTCCTGACGTAGCGACTACAGAAAATGGCTCGACCTTGGGAAATCTTGATAGAGTGAAGCATTCCATCGCCGTCGAAGAGCTGGGAGGGTCCACGAGGATGGAACTGAGGGTTTGGACCGTTTCGAATGTACGCACCATCGAGGCATAATGGGAGGAAGCCATATATCACTTCACACTCCGTCGGAGGGAGTTCGTCGACGGGGGCATAGTTGTTGGAGAGTACACATCTTGGATCTACCGATGGTCGGAGTGGAGGATCTATGAAGTTGTTTATGATGTCATCGAATATTTTGAAGATGATCGCCGGTAGAGACCGCTCCACTGGCCTCGCCGTTGGTGGAGCTAGTGGTGTTGATTTTTTTGAAGTGGGTTTTGAAGGGTATGTTGATGGTTTGTAGTTCTTTGAAGTGGATTTTTCTTTAATGAAGGAGGAAACAGTAAAAAGAGGGAGGCGTGGTTGTGGTGATAAAGAGGTTTTGGTGGTGGTGATAGGAGAGGGAAGAGGTTTTGTGTCGGACAATGGAAAGACGAAAGTGGAAGATAAGGCGTCCATTGGCCATTGGGATCACTGGAAGTGTTTTCACTCCACCGGCATCGACTCATCCCTATTTCAAGAAGGAGATCTACAATGTTAACTTCCAGTTTATTTGAAAAAGTATTGAAGGTAAAGGTGACATCACCATGATTATTTAAGGACTATGGTATCGAAGTCATTTTTTTATATTATTTTAATAAATATTTTATAATTAAAAAATTTATTATTTTGATAAATAATTTATCACTTTTGTGGATATTTTTATTATAGTTGTAAATATTTTTATTATATTTGTGAATATTTTTATTACTATTGTTATAAAAAAATATTACAATTTTTTAGAATATCACAACTATGGTAAAATAACTCATAAATGTGATAAAAATAATCACAAATGTAATAGATAGGGACATGATACCAAAAATTGTATACTATATATAAATTTCTTATAATAAATTTACAAATTAACAAGTGGATCCATATATTGAATCCCCATAATCTATTAATTGTTGTAATTTTAATTTGTTTAAGGAAAAACTCAACAGTCATGCAGATACTTAGGTTTATATAAAGGCCCAAAAATTAGAAAGATATTTAGAATTTTGTTTTTAGATTAGGATAGGAATATGGATTTGTGTAACAATTACGATTTAATTGGAAGGTCAAACACTTTTCCGTATTTTTCTCCAATTTTTTCAACTAATCGTTTAATAAGGTCAGATAAGATAAAAAATTACAGTTAATCGAAAATTTGAACACATCTGCCCACAGCTCATGGTATGGCTACAGGTGGATCCAGGTCATGCAATTTTTAACAACAATAAATTTGTCATATTTCTCAAATTTGTCCTATGAAATGGGTTAGATTGTAAACAACATCATTTTCTGACATGGCTGACAATAGAAAGATTGTTTGAACATTATGGAACTAAGCTATTTGCCCATGTGAAACTTCAATTTGGTCTTGCTTGCAAAAAAAACTGTAGAAAGACCGGTTCTAGGTCCTGTCAATAAATTTTACGGGATATGATTTCTATTCTTCGAGGCCTACACTGCTACTCTTCCATGAAGTTTTGCTATTTTTTAACCTTCCCTGATTCGCAAATACAAGACTAGAATTTTAATTGGATTTCTTAATGGTCGTTTGGTTAGGAAGAAAAAAATGATTGAAAGTGAAGTAAAATAAAAGAAAAGAAAATGATAAAAAAATATATTTTAATACATGTATTTTGTTAGAATGAAAAATTTACAGAAAAATTTTAAAAAAAAATTATTTTATTGTTTGAAAGAATGTAAAGTTATAAGAAATTATTTATAATTGCCTAAATTATCCTTAATTATATTAAATTGGTCTAAAAGAAAGAAAAAATTTGTAATTACAATTGAACGTTAAATTTTTTTTAAACAAAAAAGTGCCTCGAAATATAATTCTAAGATAATCACCAACATAAATGTCTTTGTGTGAAATTATATGATTTATCAAATTCATACCAAAATTTTTTAAAATTAATAACGAATTAAATATTTTAAGAAAAATAAGGGTAAAATGAGAAATTAGCTATAGATAACAACTTTCTTGCATTTCCATGTGTTTTTACAAGAAAAAAAAGTTGGTTATTTGTGAGAAAATTTAAGCATGAAAGAAAATTATTTTTCCTATCATTTTCCTTTTCATGCTAACCAAATACATTATAATTCTAAAAAATTTCTCTTTCTTGCATTTTCTAACATTCTCCTGCTAAACAAACGGACCCTAATTGTCCAAATATTTGATAAATGCTATAGTAGTTATTTTTTGGTGGATTTTATGAATTGGCCTTGCGGGTAATGTTTTGTATTTAATGTTCTGATATTTGAAAATTTTGAATTCGATATATTTCAATCTTGAATTATGACTGAAATTTTATTGTCTGGATTCAATTTCTATGGTTCCGATCTAAGTGGGGGGATTTTCTTGAAGATCTGCATATTGTTTTTGTGTTCTTATGCTTGGTTATTATTTCCATATCAGCTGGGTTTAATTCCTTTATTTGTTTTTGTTGTTTTTTATTTGATATCAGAATGTTTGTGAATCACTAGTCTATTGCTTGATTGAGATGAAATGAATGGAAATAAAGAAATTCATGCACTGCAGTAGATCTCTCTCCCTTACTCCTCTAGCATCCACTAAATCACAAGCTCCAATAGAAAAAACATATCAACTCTCTCACTTCCAATTCTTTGCCTAGTTTACTTTTGTTAGTTTATGTTCAAGTTTTAGAGTCTAAAGTTTGTACTATGTTATGGGGATTTTCCCTACATAAATTTAAGGATTTTTCGCACTTTGTACTCTAAAGAATTTCAAGAATATCATTTTACACCCTCAAAAAAAAAAAAAGATAAGAGAGGAGGCAGTCTGCTCACATGCGTTAGCAGAGTAGAACTATTTGTTTTAGTCAAGGAATATGTCCTGAGCTTTATAAAAACAGTTGTAAATCCTCTTAGTATTTCCAATAACCTTGTTTTTTTTTTTTCCCTGGACAACGGAGTATCATCAAAATCATGTGTCTCTTGTGCACCTAGAACTGCTCTGAGTGCACAAGAAAAAAACATTTTGTCTAGGAAAAAAAAAACATTTGCTAGTTCATACAGTTATTGTGCCATTGTTCTCAGAACTGCTCTACCACATTAAATAGCAAACAAAATTGATTTGGGATGTATGACAGAATTTAAATTATAAGTCAAACCAATTTAAAGGAAGTTATATTCATGTCGACCAAGTTGGCAAATTGTGCACCTAGAAGTCCCTACTTTTTTGGTACAATGCATCGAAGCAAAAAAACATGACAAGGATGACCCTACAAAATTGTTGCAAATGTTGATTTGTGGGGGAAGGGGGGGGGGGGGGGGGGGTAGGTTTCAAAAATAAATGTTTCGAATGTGTCAATGTTTTTAAATTTTCTCACTCTATAAATATCCATTCCCATTCCACTAAAATTTTTATTATTAAATTATTAAATTCATCCCTTCTATATTCACCCCAATTCAACTAAATTTACTCCATTCTATACACACCCCTTTCATAACTAGTTCTTCTTCTATCTTCTCATAACTAAGGTTTTATTTACTATGGATTTATAAGTAAGATGATTACATCACTTTTTGTATATGTACATTATCCAAATCTATTACAGTTTCGATGAAAAGAACATATGTTAGATTAACATTAGTAGCTTGTGTTGCTATGGTGTGGGCAACAATATTAATTTCTCTTTGCATGCATGGACACAAACTAGATCAGAGAAATCTATTGAATATACAAAGGAGAATAATTTATATGGACAATTATAAATAATCAATATAAGAATTTATAATGCTTCGTTTCTCCTTCTTGTTGCAAACGTATATGAATAGACACACAAACACAAAATCAAACAAAAATTTATACATAAACCCTAAATCAAAAATAATTAAGCTTGACAAAATCAAACATGAAATCCCACAGCGCACATGAAATCAAACAAAAAATTAAACCAAAAATTAATACTAAAATGCATCTCACTAGAAAAATTAATATTGAAAAAACTCATTTGTGTACGGCATATGAGAGGAAATAGTGAATGAAATCTTAGTTTTGAGAAGATAAAATGTGGACTTGTTATTAAAGAGGTGTAGATAGAATGATGTGAGTTTACTTAAAATGGGGTGGGTATAGAAGGAATAGACTTAGTAGACTTAGTAGTGTGATTATAAAAATTTTAATGGTGTAAGAATGAATATTTGTGATGCGAGAATAGCCTCCCCCTTATTGAATTGCCCAAACATGCAATGCAAAATCTTCTTGTGTTGTCCCGATATCATTGGCCAATGTTGATCGTGACCATTGCATAAGCTTTTATTTAGTAGATTAGGAATTTCACTCCTGTTAATTTTGTGGTGGAATAAGAAACTTCGAATAAACTCGAGCATTTTGAATTCAAATTCTTTCAGCTTGATCACAAAAAAAAAAATCAGATTTTTTTAATTAATGTAATTAACAAATTATTTAGTGCAACTGGGGTTCATGTTCCAAATATGAATTAAAAAATATGCGTAGTTAGAATGATTACATGTTTAAAAAAAAACTACAATTGAGCTCGGTCCTTAAAACTTCAACAAATAATTGGTTGTGAGTATTTTTTTAGAATTTATTTTGCTTTAAGTACCATCTTCAGACTTATACTCCATTAAGTCATCATTTTCATCAAATAGTTGTCAATTAGTACATATTTTAAAACATTTCAAATTCTTTTTGAAATGTATTTCATAATTACTCTTATCATAAATATTGTGTATCATTGTTAGTTTCAATGTTTTCAAATATAACAACTCCTAACTTAGAATTGTGCTACTATTAAAATTATTTTTCTATCATATATATATATATATATATATATATATATACTAGTTATTTATCGTGCCTAAAGGCATGGAGTAATAAAAAAATGGTCAACATATTTGTATTCACACAAAAAATCAAATTACAAACATAAATGAAAGATAAATAAATTTAAGCACCGATTATAGTGGGGGTGAACGGTGGTAGTGGTGGAGGGGTGAAACTAGTGATGGTGAGAGACAGTGATGGTTATGATGGGTAAGGCGATGACCGTGGTGGTGGTAGCAGTCGTGGGTGGCAATAATGATGATGGTAGTGTGTTTTGAGTGACAATGATGAGAGTGGCAGCCATAGATGGCAACGGTGGTAGTGGTGGGTGTGGGTGTGGGTGTGGGTGGTGGTGGACGGCGGTTATGGTGATTAGCAGTGGTGGTGGTGGTGAGCGACGATGAGTGCTTTTAGGCGACAGTGTGATGGGTGATGGCGAATGGCAGCGGTGGTAAGTAAGGTAGGGGTAGGTGACAGTGGGTGGCTACAGCAGTGAGCGATGACAGATGATGGTGGTTGGTGGTGGTAAGTGTGGTGGGGTAGGTGCTAGTAGCTGGTGGCAATAGTGGGGGACGATGGGTAGTAGTGGGCGACTGAGGTAGGATGATGGTGG